AAATGATGTCGTACGAAAATACATATAAAATTTTTCTTCGTCATCAACTAGGTGCCTGAATAAGGTCCAGTATTCTCCTTCGACTTTCCTTTTTTTAAAGCGGCGTGGACCCAGTAACGTCGTGATCGATTGATATTATTGTTTTCTCTTTCTTCTTCATCTAAAGCAATGGCTATCATTGCTAATTCTGCCCTGGACAATTTTCTAATAGCCATCGTACAGGTATAGGAAATTATTTTAACAAAAATATTCACCCGCCCTTCCTGACGTCTGTCTCACGCGAAAACACAAGTTTCACTATTCTACACTATTCTCACAATAGAAAAAACTACTATCAGAGAACGGGGACCATACGGATATGATACGCGGATGCTACGGTCACTATAACCGTTACAGATAGGTATCATACGCTGTTGATACGTTCTAGTGGGCATAGTAGACCGTATCGTGTTTTTTTTTCGTTCCTGTTACGTTCATAGCACAGTCATGGTATGAAACGGTGTAATGGGCAGAGACCATTAATCGTAAAACGTGAAGTCTTCTTTCAGACGGACGACATTTTGTCGTTGTCGTGGAGTGTCGTGTCGTGAAAAAAAGTTTGGTGCTTTCACACATCATTCAATTTCTGCCGTAGGCTTCTTTCAGACGGACGACATTTTGTCGTAGTCGACAAGTACTAACAACTGGAATGATCAGTCACAACATTTTTTTCCATAAATTTAATACACTTGTATTTACAAATTAAACGAATATAATTATTGCTGTATTTTACTCACTTTAGACACACTGCTAGTTTTTCTCTTGGTGTAAGACTTTCTCTAAATGTGGTATTACTTCTAGTTATAATATTTTCGATATTTCCCAATAATTCATTAAATTGAAATGATATCATACGAAAATGCATATAAAATTTTTCTTCGTCATCAACTAGGTGCCTGAATAAGGTCCAGTATTCTCCTTCGACTTTCCTTTTTTTTTTTAAAGCGGCGTGGACCCAGTAACGTCGTGATCGATTGATATTATTGTTTTCTCTCTTTTTTCTTCATCTAAAGCAATGGCTATCATTGCTAATTCTGCCCTGGACAATTTTCTAATAGCCATCGTACAGGTATAGGAAATTATTTTAACAAAAATATTCACCCGCCCTTCCTGACGTCTGTCTCACGCGAAAACGCAAGTTTCACTATTCTACACTATTCTCACAATAGAAAGAACTACTATCAGAGAACGAGGACCATACGGATATGATACTCGGATGCTACGGTCACTATAACCGTTACAGATAGGTATCATACGCTGTTGATACGTTCTAGTAAGCATAGTAGACCGTATCGTGTTTTTTTTCGTTCCTGTTACGTTCATAGCACAGTCATGGTATGAAACGGTGTAATGGGCAGAGACCATTAATCGTAAAACTTGAAGTCTTCTTTCAGACGGACGACATTTTGTCGTTGTCGTGGAGTGTCGTGTCGTGAAAAAAAGTTTGGTGCTTTCACACATCATTCAATTTCTGCCGTAGGCTTCTTTCAGACGGACGACATTTTGTCGTAGTCCTGTACGGCAACGATATCGTGTATAGCAGTTAACTCATTGATTAAATGTAAACTTACACAAGACGCGATTTAAAATCGTAGTCGTAGACGACTGTCGTAGTACCCCGGCGGGATCACTGCGACGACACGATGTCGTGGTCGTGAACGACTGCAGTGGTACAAGCAGTCATTCCATTCATTCAAGTCCATTCTCGTTTTCACACTTGTCGTGCCTAGGCGAAAAAATCGTGATTTATTCTATAGTGGTAGTGAATTTAGATTTAAAAATATTTGTAAAATATTTTAATTAAAAAAAAAATGGATATCGAAATTGATAACGAGCTTCTTATCAATCTTGTTGAACAGCGGCCGGTGTTATGGAATAAAACTTTAGAAGAGTATAAAAACCGAAATAAAACATTACAGGGTTGGAAAGAAATTTGCAGAATTTTAAAAGATGGATTTGATGAGATGTCAGAAAAAGAACAAAATGAAATTGGTAAGTAAAAATATTTCGCTTTATTTATTACATTATAATGACTTAGCTCAGTAAACTTATATTTTTAAATGTTTCCAAGGGACTGATCCTTTCTCGGTCAAAAAATAATCTGCGAATAGGTTTCTAATTTCATTTGCTGATAATCCTCCACGTACTGAATGACTATTAGGAACATCCCCAACACTTTCACCTATTGTCAAAGTGTCTTGTGGATTATATCCATCTCTATCACGTACGTAGTTATGAAGAACACAGCATGCTTTAACTATATCCACAGCAAAATTCTGCGACACATTAAAAGGACGGTGAAAAATTCTCCATTTATTTGAAAGAATACCGAATGCACATTTCACGTACCTTCTGGCTCTAGTTAAACGGTAATTAAAAACTTTTTTTTTGACTGATAAATTATGACCTCCAAATGGACGAAGTAAATTATCATCCAACGCGAAAGCTTCATCCCCTACAATTACATACGGTAAGTTTGATGCAAATCCTTCCAATGGTTCTGAAGGGGGAATAGCTAATTCATTATCTTTTAGTAGTCTCCAAAATGTTGTATTTTTAAACACAGTCGAATCACAATCTTTTCCATACGATCCAATATCAACATAGGTAAATTTGTAATCTGAATCTACTACCGCCATTAAAATAACAGAGTAATAATGTTTATAATTGAAGTACATGGACCCGGTATGGGCTGGTTTAATCATCCGTATATGTTTCCCATCTACAGCTCCTATACAGTGCGGGAAATTAGACCATTTCTCAAACATATTTGCAATGGCTTTCCATTTTTCAGTTGAGAGTTTAGGTAAACAATCATTGTGCATAACATTCCATATAACCTTTGAGACCTGTTGAACAATACCACTAATGGTCGAAATTCCTATTTTGTATCTGTGATGGAGGTCGGTAAATGAACATCCGGTAGCAAAGTACCTAAAAAATATCTTTTAAGTGATACCTATATAATAATGTTTTTCTTTTATTTACAGGTAAACTACTTACAAAGAGATGGACAAATATAAAGGACAGTTTCTTAAGATGGCTTAAAAAATATAATGACACAATGCGTTCAGGTGCTGCTGCTAATAGCTTGAAGAAATATGTTTATTACGACCAATTATTATTTAAAAAAAAACTGCCCATCCAAATAAAACAGAAAATAGTTTAGGTGACACTGTGAACCAAGAACAAGTGTCTGTTGACAATAATACAACACCAACAACAAAAAAACGTAAACTTAAAGAGCCACAAATACAATCGGGTTCCAAAAAAAGGATGACTGCATTTGAAGAACGAATGATTGCAGCACTGGAAACACCTCCACCACCAGCACATCAAACTTTTACAGATCGACATATGGCATTTTTCGCTGGAATAGTACCTTCTTTAAATAATTTCAACGACGATCAAATTTGTGAATTCCAGATTGGAGTACTACAATTAATTCAGTCTCTAAAGCGAAACGATTTTTCAAATTCAGCAGATCGAAGGCATGCAGGTAATCCCAACTTTTATTTAGGACAAGCGGCAGTTCCCACACAATCTAGAATGACACACTACTTGCCTTCTGAACATACAGCAATGCAAATATCGCCAATACCATCAATATTGTCAATACCATTAGATTCTCATGGAACAACATCCAACTTTCGTAATGGAAAAGGATCTTCGCAAAGCCCCGCACTGCAGAATAATTCTGAAAGAACTTATACCCTTTTGCTACCGTCAGGTCACGCTTCAGGAAAAAATAGCGCTGCCGCTGAATTAACAGAAGAAACAAATGTATTTTCCCCATCGTATTCAACCGTCTCATCTGACGGCTCACAAAGTATTAATTTGTTTGATTAATGATAGGTACATACCGAAATTGCATTATGTATTTCTAGTTTATATTTCTTTGTTTTTTTTTCGTACAGAATAAAATAATATGCATTCATTAGAATGTTATTACTTACCTTAGAGTAACTGCGAGCATCTCGATTGGTGTTATGCAATTTCGCATATTGGTGTCCTGTTTCTGTAAATCACCCTGTATCTTCATGCTTAATTCATCGAAACATGCAACAGACATTCGAAAGTAATTAAAAAATTTTATGTTGTCTTTTCGCAGATCCTGAAATAATGTGACAAATTCGCCAACTAAATACCTATTTTCAAGAAGCGGATGAGTCCAATATTTTCTTATTTTTCGAGATTTTCGGCGAGAATGCCATAATGCCAACACTATTAAACGCTTTCTTTTTCTTTCATCCATCATACAAGACAACAGTTCACAGCACGACTACGGCAGAAATTGAATGATGTGTGAAAGCAACCAAACTTTTTTTCACGACGCGACACTGCACGACAACGACAAAATGTCGTCCGTCTGAAAGAAGCCGTAGTGGTGCTGTGAACTGATGTCTTGTATGATGGATGAAAGAAAAAGAAAGCGTTTAATAGTGTTAGCATTATGGCATTGCCGCCGAAAATCTCGGAAAATAAGAAAATATTGGACTCATCCGCTTCTTGAAAATAAGTATTTAGTGGGGGAATTAAGTATGAAGATACAGGGTGATTTACAGAAACGGGACACCAATATGCGAAATTGCTTAACACCAATCGAGATGCTCGCAGTTACCCTAAGGTAAGTAATAACATTCTAATAAATGCATATTTTATTCTGTATGAAAAAAAACAACAAAGAAATGTAAACTAGAAATACATAATGCAATTTTGGTATGTACCTATCATTAATCAAACAAATTAATACTTTGTGAGCCGTCAGATGAGACGGTTGAATAAGATGGAGAAAATACATTTGTTTCTTACGCTATATGTTTCTTACGCTATATAGTCAAATACATTTGACGCTGTTAATTCAGCGGCAGCGCTATTTTTTCCTGAAGCGTGTCCTGAAGGTAGCAAAAGCATATAAGTTGCATGCGTTCGATTTGCTGAATTTGAAAAATCGTTTCGCTTTAGAGACTGAATTTGTAATCTGTAAAAGTTTGATGTGCTGGTGGTGGAGGTGTTTCCAGTGCTGCAATCATTCGTCCTTCAAATGCAGTCATCATTTTTTTGGAAGCCGATTGTATTTGTGGCTCTTTAAGTTTACGTTTTTTGGTTGTTGATGTTGTATTATTGTCAACAGACACTTGTTCTTGGTTGATAGTGTCATCTAAACTATTTTCTGTTTTATTTGAATTGGCAGTTTTTTTTAATAATAATTGCTCGTAATAAACATATTTCTTCAAGCTATTAGCAGCAGCACCTGAACGGATTGTGTCATTATATTTTTAAGCCATCTTAAGAAACTGTCCTTTATATTTGTCCATCACTTTGTAAGTAGTTTACCTGCAAATAAAAGAAAAACATTATTAGGTAGGTATCACTTAAAAGATAATTTTTTTAGGTACTTTGCTACTGGATGTTCATTTACCGACCTCCATCACAGATACAAAATAGGAATTTCGACCATTAGTGGTATTGTTCAACAGGTCTCAAAGGTTATATGGAATGCTATGCACAATGATTGTTTACCTAAACCCTTAACTGAAAAATGGAAAGCCATTGCAAATATGTTTGAGAAACGGTCTAATTTTCCGCATTGTATAGGAGCTGTAGATGGGAAACATATACGGATGATTAAACCAGACCATACTGGGTCCATGTACTTTAATTATAAACATTATTACTATCTTATTTTAATAGCGGTAGTAGATTCAGATTACAAATTTACTTATGTTGATATTGGATCGTATGGAAAAGATTGTGATTCGACTGTGTTTAAAAATACAACATTTTGGAGACTACTACAAGATAATCAATTAGCTATTCCCCATCAGAATCATTGGAAGTATTTGCATCAAACTTACCGTATGTAATTATAGGGGAGGAAGCTTTTGCGTTGGATGATAATTTACTTCGTCCATTTGGAGGTCATAATTTATCAGTCAAAAAAAAAGTTTTTAATTACCGTTTAACTAAAGCCAGAAGGTACGTGGAATGTGCATTCGGTATTCTTTCAAATAAATGGAGAATTTTTCACCGTCCTTTTAACGTGTCGCAGAATTTTGCTGTGGGTATAGTTAAAGCGTGCTGTGTTCTTCATAACTACGTACGTGATAGAGATGGATAAAATCCACAAGACACTTTGACAATAGGTGAAAGTATTGGAGATGTTCCCTAGTCAGTCAGTATTTGGAGGATTATCAGCAAATTAAATTAGAAACCTTTTCGCAGATTATTTTTTGACCGAGAAAGGATCAGTCCCCTGGCAACATTTAAAAATATAAGTTTACTAAGCTCATTAAGTATTAATTATAATGTAATAAATAAAGCGAAATATTTTTACTTACCAATTTCATTTTGTTCTTTTTCTGACATCTCGTCAAATCCATCTTTTAAAATTCTGCAAATTTCTTTCCAATCCTGTAATGTCTTATTTCGGTTTTTATACTGTTCTAAAGTTGTATCCCATAACACCGACCGCTGTTCAACAAGATTGATAAGAAGCTCGTTATCAATTTCGATATCCATTTTTTTTTTAATTTAAATATTTTACAAATATTTTTAAATCTAAATTTACTACCACTGTTAATAAATCACGATTTTTTCGCCTACGCAAGACAAGTGTGAAAACTAGAATGGACTTGCTTGTATCACTGCAGTCGTTCACAACCACGACATCATGTCGTCGCAATGATCCCGCCGGGGTACCACGATTGTCGTGTACGATTACGATTTTAAATCGCGTCGTGTGAAAGTTTACATTTAATCAATCAGTTAACTGCTATACACGATATCGTTGCCGTACACGACTACGACAAAATATCGTCCGTCTGAAAGAAGCGGAAGAGTGCATAATCTCTCAGCTGTTCGACTTTGTGTATAGATTATATTTTTAGATCGACTCTTTTGGATACCGTTTCTACCACCATATATGACCCGACAGTAAAACTCTTTCTGACACAACTGTCACATATTTTAATATTCTATTTGACGTTTAATAAAAAGTTTATACAAATAATATGATTGAATCAGAAGACTCGGATACAGATGCTACAGAAAATGTTCGTGTCTTTATCAGAATTCGGCCATTAAAAGATATGGAAACAACTTTAGCTAACCAGAAAATTGTTCAATCAGATGGCAACAGTATAACACTAAATAAATATGGAGCGATCAAAACATTTACATTTTGTAAAGTATTCGATGAAAACAGTCAGCAAATAGACCTGTACAGACATGTATCAGTTCCTATAGTGGAACAAGTCCTAAAAGGCTACAATGGGACAATTTTTGCGTATGGTCAATCAGGAACAGGAAAGACTTACACCATGATCGGTGATATTGGAGACAATAGTCGTAAGGGGATTATTCCAAACATATTTTCTCATATATTTGCACAAATAACACTGGCAAATAATGAATATTCTTATGTTGTTACTGTTACGTATTTGGAAATATATAACGAGGAAATTCGGGATCTTTTATCAGAATATCCAGAAAAAAAGCTGGCGTTAAGGGAAAAACCAGGTGTCGGTGTCTATATCAAAGATCTCCTAGGCTTTACCGTCCATTCTTTGGAAGCTGTTACAGATATTCTAAAAAAAGGAAACAAAAATCGTGCTACTAGTTTCACTCAACTTAATGATGTCAGTTCCAGATCCCACGCTATCTTCACCGTATTGATAGAGACCAAAAATAATATAACAAACAAAACAACGTTTGGAAAATTAAATCTTGTAGATCTAGCAGGTTCTGAAAGGGTACACAAAAGTCTCGCTACTGGAGATCGATTACGAGAAGCTGGAAAAATTAATCTGTCATTATCGGTACTTGGAAACGTTATATCAGGTAAATATTTTTATATAAGGTAACTTGAGAGCTACTTTAACTTTTGTCATGAGTGTGACTGAAATGATTTTTTCTTTTTAATATTTTAAATTATCCTTTTATAATAGTACAATGTTATTGAGGTAGAAGATAACCTGGAAGTGTTATTCCTGACATTTTGTCATCAACTACGTAAGTAAAGTGTGTGCAAAATACACCATTATCTGTATTGCTATGTACGGTTTAACATTTTATTTATTTTAAGCTCTACGATATTACATTTATTTGTTAAAAAGAAATCTGTACATTCCTCTCAAACAAATCATTCTCGTTTTGTTTCAACAAAACATTCTCGTTCTGATTTAAAACGTTTTATATTCCCTCTATTAACTAGTGTAACTATCTTTACGATCATCATCTAGCCTTCTGCGTCCAAAGTTGAACATATGGCATCCCTAATTTCTCCCAGTTCCGGTGGTCTTGAGTTTCTTGCAGGCAATTCACAACGATTCTTTTGACATCGTCTGTCTATCGTGTAGGTGTTCTACCTCTTCTTCGTATGTCTGATCGTGGTCTCCATACTGTAATTTTATGGGTGCTCCGCCAGCTGAGACCACATGGCTCGAGCAGTTTCACTTTAATCATGCTATGCGCTCTATGACCTCTGTGACGCCGGTCATTCTTTTTATTTCTTCGTTTCCAACCATGTAGAGAGTCAGTTCCAGTAACGAGCGTTCCATTCTTCTTTGGGCTACTCTGAGTTTGGTTGCTGGCTTTGAGCAACAATGGGGCAATGATAAAGTGATTCTTCTTTGCAGTTTAGCAGTTTGGTTGTCCCTGAAAATTTGGATTTTATGACCAAAGTCGACGTTTGGATTTTCGTTTGGTACCGGATTTGTTATGTATTCTGTCTTTCCAAAATTTATGTTCACATCAACTACCTTGCAGGCAGCATCTAATTCACTAAGTATTAGTTCTAATCTCCTTTGTTTTTTGCTATCAGAACATTGCCGTCCGCAAATCGTAGACGGGAGAGCATTTCGCCGTCCACAATGATTCCTTTGGCGAATCAATCCAATTTTTTTAAAGCATGTTAGAGAACTGACGTAAAGAATTTTGGAGATAAAGTGTCTCCTTGTCTGTTTCCTTTTTTTATTTTTATCTTCTTTATCTCCTTTTATCTCCTTATTCATTACTCAAGGTTGGCTATAACTACAGCAAATAGCTCTCTATCTTGAGCTGTTCTTAGTATCGAATGTGTGTGTCCATACTTGTCCAGTCTCTTACATTCTTCAACCAGGAGCATTTTCTTCTTCCTAGAACTCTCCTTCCTTTTAATTTCCTTTCCATTATAAGTCGTAGGAGGTTGTATTTATCTCCTCTGTAAAGATGTCCTAGATAACTCGTTTTTCTGTTTTTTAGGAGTTCTCTCTCAGTACCCATTTTTCTTTACACCTCGTTGTTGGTCACATGCTATGTCCAAGATATCTTCAGAATCCTTCGAAAAACCCACATTTCAAAGGCTTCTTTACGCCTAATACTTGTAATTCCGAGAGTCCATGTTTCCACTCCTTATAGAAATATAGAATAAATAAATGTTTTTACAAATTGGTATCGGATATCTAACGATAACATAGAGTTTATTAGGATTTTTTTCATTTGTTGAAATACGGACCTAGCATATTCTATACGAGCACGTATTTCGACCTCGTGGTCAAGATCGTTTGTTATTCAGCAACCAAGATACTGGAATCTTTGTACTGGTTCTATATGTTTGTTATAGATACGAATATTAATGTCGCCATTTGGTGCACGTGCAACAGCCATTACTTTTCTTTTATTTGTGTTTATATTTAGTCCCAAGCTATCTCCCTCTCTGGTTATGGCATTCAAAAGTCGTTGTAAACCCTCAGCACTGTTTACGTTGTTTATTTTTATGTAGTTTGTATATTTGTGCAGTCTTACGTTCAAGGCTTTATCGAAATATATACAATCTGTGGCTTTATCGTTGAATCCTAAAGATATCTTATACTGACCACGTTACTAATGAGGACGTTGTAATAAGTATACAAAATGAAAGAGAGCTGTTAACCCCAATAAAAACAGCCAAAATCTAATACCTCGGTTACATTCGTCGTTAATCTTCACATTCCCATTTTCTTCTTCTTCTTCGGGTTCCTTCTCCTGGCGGAGGTTGGAAATCATCATCGCTATTTTAACTTTGTTGGCCGCATTTCTGAATAATTCTAATGAGCTGCAGCCGAACCACTCTCTCACATTTCTTAGCCAGGACATTTTGCGTCGTCCTGGGTTTCTCTTCCCTTGTATCTTCCCTTGCATAATCAACCTCAGTAATACGTACTTCTCACCCCTCATTAAATTCCCATTTTCGTCCCCCTCTAACTTCGGGCAATAATCATTCCACACAAAAGTCCATTTACTTACTTATCTCCTCCTCCAACTGTCTCTAATAGTTCTTAAAGTATCTCTCATCAACATTTTCAGTTTTCTCGATCATAAATTTATGTTATATAGATATAACTACATCCAAATATTCACATTGTGATTCTTCGTTCACATAAAACTACAACTCTTCAATTTTATCATCAGCTCATTTATTTCACATATCTTAAAATATATATATATATATATATATATATATATATATATATATATATATATATATATATATATATCCTTTTGATAATTAGTAACACAACTGAGTTTCTGAAATTAAAGATTTATTAAAACATGTTCTATTTACATTATTTACACAAAATTTTACCTGAAATTAAAGAAACGACATTTAATGTCACTAACTATGGATGTTTTAATATTCTTATCCTAAGCACAAATAATCTCTGACAATGTGACAAGTTTTTTAAATAGATGACAGAAGTGGTTGTGTCTAATATTCCAGATAATGTGCTCGGTAGAGCGCGGCAATATTTGAATGATGAAATTATAATTTCATTACATCCCCCCTTCCCAGAGGAGAAAATATTCATGCCTTTAAATGTTTAGTAGTCGTCTACGTCTTCTTCATCTTCAGGTGTTGAGATTGGAGTCAGCTTGGATATGTGGAACAGATTAGACTCTGATTTTCTTCGGTTCAGGTTTATTCTGTAAATTGAATTTGACAATTTTTCCGTAATTTCATACGGTCCTACTTTCAGTTCGTCAAGTTTATTCCTGTTTAATTTGTTTCCATTTTCCACATATACCAAATCACCTATCTTGAAATCAAAATGTTTACGATTTTTGTCATAAATTTGTTTATTATAATTATGAGATTTGATCGTTCTGTCTAAAGCAATATTTCTATTACGAATCCAGTCTTTCTCAGAAGTTAATATTTTTAGTTCATTTGGCAACATTGCAACATTTTTGCCATACATTAAGTATGATGGTGCGAAACCAGTGACAGTATGTTCTGTTTCATTGTATTTGCGCACACATTCTTGTGCTATTGTTGTCCAAGAAGTTTTTTGTTCTTTTTCGTTAATTTTGCATCTGATTTTATTAATTAGGGTCTGATTTAATCTTTCATTCAAGCCGTTAGAAAATGGTGAATTTGTGGCAGTAAAGATTATTGGTATAAATTTTTCATCTAAAAAATTTTTAAAATTTTTTGAATTTATTCCTGGGTATTGGTCTGTTAGAATCATTCCAATCTGATCTGTCTCTGATATGCTTTTCACAAGTTTAATAAAATCATTAGCAGTTTGAGTTTTCGATGTTAGGATATATGCATATCTTGTAAAGTGATCGACTAAAAGATGTAAATATTTTTTTGTAGATCGTGAACCTCCAAAACCTCCGATTGTGTCTATGGAAATAATTTCAAAAGGTTTTGTGGCTGGACCTAAATGTGACATTAAGCCAAATTTTCCTAGTCCTCTTGATTTGTTTCTAATACATACTGCACAGCTTTGACATATTTCCTTTATATTTTTGGTTAAATTTTTAGCTGTATAGTATGGTCCTATCATCATATGCATTTGTTTTATTCCTATATGACATAAGTTTCTATGCACATCTTTTAAAAATTGTATAGTAAAATCTTCAGTTAGAATGACTTTTTCATTTCCTCTTACTTTTTTGTAATAAACATTATTTTTAATTAATAGTTTATTATTATGTTTTATATCTTTATTTTTTTCTTGGTCTTTCAATATATCTTCAAGAGTTATCAAATTTGTAACTTTCAACTGCTCCTCCATATTTTCATCGGGTTCTAAGACAGGATTTCTGCTAAGGCAGTCAGCTTCTAAGTTATATTTTCCAGGGCAATATTTCACTACAAAATCATATTGCGATAAATAATATGTTAAATCACCTAGTTCTTCATCTGTTCTAGACTTTATATTCATATTCTCCAATGGCTTGTGGTCAGAAAAAACAGTAAAGTTCTTACCTATTAAGTAATGTTGCCAATATTTAACACATTCTTTAATTGCCAGGCACTCCAGGTATATAGCTTTTTTTCTCTTCTGTACTTCATTTAGTTTCTTAGAGAAATAGGCCACTGGTTTTTCTTCATTGTTTTCCTGTGGTTGTTTTAGCACCCCTGCTATTCCTAGTAAACTAGCATCAGTATATATGTGTATCGGTAGAGTTGGATCGAAAATAGTTAGTACAGGTTGAGTTAACAATACATTTTTTAAATCTTCAAATGTTTTTTGGCATTCCTTAGTCCAATTAAATGGTTGACCTTTTCTCAGAAGATTATGCAAAGGATCCAATTTTATTGCTATTTTTGGCACATATTTATGATAAAAATTTATCTTCCCTAGAAACTGTCTAACATTTTTCTGTGTTTTAGGTATTGGAAAGTTTTTTATTGAAATCAAGTTGTCCTTCAGTGGCTTTACACAATTATTTTTTATTACATGACCCAAGTATTTTACTGATTCAGCTGCAAACATGCATTTTACAAATTTTAATCTGAATCCTTCACTTTTGATTGCTTTAAATAGTTGTGCTAGATGTCTGATATGTTCCTGGAATGATTTTGAAAA